CCCCCCCCGTCAAAAAAAAGAATTCCCCAAGCCAATTCCCCAGCGCCCTCCTCCCCACTCGGCCACACGCATCACCCGCTGCGGCCACATCGTCGGTAAAGAATGTCTCCTCGCGTGGCTCGACATCAGCTGCGCATGTCCCGTGTGCAACTGCCCTCTCTTCGACGCCACGGACGAAGAGATCACGGAGCGCGACGTCGCGTTCGTGTACAAGAAGCTGAGGTGGTTATGGAGGAAGTGGGAGATTTTCGCGGCGATTGAGAGGGTCTTGTGGAGAAAGAGGTATGAGCAGGGGTGGCGCGAGGAGCGGGCTCCTGGCGTTGATCCGGTGGTGGAGGAGAGGGTGGAAGGGGAGTTCTGGGATGGAGAGATGGGGGAAGAGGAGGGGAGTGAAGAGGGGGAGATTGTTGAGAGGGTGGAGATGGATGAGGAGGATGAAGAGATGGAAGATGGGGATGAGGGATACGACAACGAGGGATACGACGCAGAGAACGAAGACGAGGGCGATGATGATGTCGGCAGTTCAGAAGATATGGACATTTCAGACTCTTCAGAGTGACTGGGGTCAAAGTCTACACAACAGATTCTGGACTCGTCGGACTATTCAGAGCAAGCAGACTCAAAGCTCACATACCCCATGGAGGACTGATCGGATGCCTGGTCAACACGTTAGATGGATTACACCGCTGCAACATTTCATTTGGGCACCACCATGCCAAACACACCAAAAATCAATTTTTTTTACAAAAAAAACACTCTCTCATCGCTCCGAAGTGCCTATATATCTTGCAATGTGTTTCTAACCCTCAGATAACGCAAGCCGTGGGATTCAGGTCCCGACCAATGACCCCTTTCTTACACTGACATTAGGTCGTGATCCATCCAACCCACTCAACCTAACGCCAATTTCCTCCGCTAGCATTGGTGCACCATGGAATGTAGCTTCAGCAGTCTGGCACCTACCCACGCATCTTAGACGCTACATAAAAGGGGGGAGAGGGGGGGGAGGAGCTGAACAGTCGTGCAGTCAGCTGAAATACTAGCTCTCTCTCGACCACCTCGTCAAATAGTCGCGACTCCGTTCATTCCCTTCGTTATTCCTTCTCACTCATTTTTATCAGTTGTATACCATAGCAATGCTTGCCTCCTCCCCACGCAGCGGCTTCCTAAAAAACGACACGGAACCATGCACCGCTCAACCCACAACGCCCTGTCCCATCTGCCACGAAACAATCACCCGCAAAACCCCAACTCGCGGCCTGCGCATCCACATACGAAATACTAAGACGGCAGCTAGAATGTTCGTTTTGACCTGCCACCGCACTTACCAGACCAAGCACAACATCAGTAGTAGCAGTAGTAGTCACCCACTGCTTCGGCCCCGCACCAAGTCATCGCGCAGCAACTCGATGATGCGAATTAAGCGGTGCGGCCACGCCTTTTGCTACGACTGTCTTGAGACGTGGGTGCAGAAACAAAATACTTGCCCCATGTGTCGGGACAGGCTGTTTACTGAGTCACGGCGTGAAAGGTACAGGGGTGAGAGTAGTGATCAAGGGGATAGGGTGTTGTTGCTGGCATTGAGGGGGTATCTGGATATGCGCGAGGTGAGGGATGTGAGCGATCCGGTTGTACGGAGTGCGCTTGGTGGTGGTGGTGGTGGGCATGATTATCGAGAAGATGAGTGGGCGGATGTATATGGGGATGTTATGGTGCGGGGGAACGAGATGATATGACGGAAGAGGTGGTGGAGGACGGCAGAAGGAAACATGGAAAACAAGAAATGATGGGCATGTGGTGGTGTCTATGGCGCACCTTGGGGTGTGCTGGTTTAGTTGCTTTTTTTGGTAGAAGTAAAGAGCCGTTGTCTAGGTGTGGGGCCGGAATACTATGGTTGTGCATACCAGAAATATGGATTATCAAACAAGAAAGCGCTGATAGGTTAGTGGTGGCTGTGCAGCAGAGTAGGAGTGTGGCTTAGCGCAAGCCTATCTGTCTAGGAGTAGGAGTAGAAGTACAACTACGTGATTGTATCCACAGTGGAGTAGTGTAGTTGTAGTGGAGTAGGAGGATTGTGACTGTCTCGGGATATCCGAAGCCCTAACGCATGGTGTTTTGGACTTGGCCGCATACAGCATTACTACTGTGTAGTAATGGCCTGAATACAAATAGCGTGCAGATGTGCAAACTGTAGCAAAGAAAAAAAAAGCTATGGCCGCGTCACAAGCAAATCCGGGGCAGAGGTTCTGGGTTCTTGCATGACAGATGCGGGAGTGTCTCGGCATTCATGCTTGACTTTTGACATGGACTGTTGCAAAGCCGACTGGTGACCCTGCTACGTCGAACCCGTGATCACGACGAGATTGACGAACACTATATATCGGCTTTATTGTTCTCACCGGTCGCTAAAACCTAGAAGATGCCATCAGCCATGAAGCAAGGCCATGATTATCGTCAGCACTGGCACGGGGGTTAGCGACCTACAGACAAGTAGGCAGACGTGGAGTTGTAGTGTGCATGGTCAAAACAAACGTGGATGTGCATGTTCAACAGAAGCAACAAAGCCAAGCACATTTTTTCTTTCTGGTCAGCACAGACGTGAGTCACACATAAGCGAAGAAAAGATGCATGCCACCCCAGATGCGGCGGCGGCGGCGGCGGACCAGTCGAGCACCAGCACCAGCACCAGCAGCCAACGCCTTTGCACCCCACCCCGCATCCCCTAGGCTTGCTGCCTGGACATGTGTCGCACGTCGGTGTATAAAGCGAGGCGATGCTGTCGTTCACGCAGCGACGCCGAGTGCGTCGATGCTTCATGCGCTGCTGTCAGAGTGACACGCGGCAACAAAGCAGGGGGAGGCGTAGGCCGTCGCACCAGTCGCAAGGGGGGTTGAGCAAATTGCAGAGGGTGTAGGTGTAATGAGTGGCAGCACTGCAGGTGAGCCGGGCAGGCAGCAAAAGGCAGCAGGTCGTGCTGGTGTGAAAAATTTATCTTTTCGCGTTGCGCCGTTGCAAGGTGGCCAGAGGGCGGCAAATGAGGCGAGGGGGCCGAGTGGACGGGCTGGGGTTTGGGCCTTGGCTCAATCCGGGTCAGTGCGTCGTCATGGCTGGTACTCGTAGGCACCAGCAAAGCTGCCATGATGATCGGTCCAGCAGCGCAAACTGCTCTCGCCCCCACGACGCCGCCAGGCTGTGCACTCAGTGTGTGCGTGCCGTGTGCTGCAGTGATGGCAATGGGCAGCGGGAGGAGGGGTGCAGTGCAGTGCAGGCATGGGCGGGTGCATGCCGAGAATGGATTGAATCGGAGACGGATGGATGGCGGTGATGACGGGCAGAGGAGGTGAAGGAAGAGGCGAGTTGCATGATGCTGGCGAGCCCCCTTTTCTTCACTGGCAAAAATCTTCTCGCTACCCAAAAGGTGACGCTAAGCCCCCCAATCGCTGCCCTATCCCTGCCCGCTAGCGCCGCGCTAGCAGCTTGGCACGTCGCCGCCTGCGACTATAAGTACTCGGCCTCCCCCCAACTTTTTGACGAGATTTCCGCCTTGCCCGCCGTTGTCGCAACACCGCAACCTCTCAGCCCCCCATCGCCGCAGATCGAACTCAATCTAGTTTCACCTGCGCGCCCTCTAATACTTGCGACCCACAAGCTTCTGTGTGCCCAATTTGCACATATCCACTCTCTCAGAGGTCCTAGGCGACTGCGATACTGCGATCGGCGCTAGCTTCATCCAGCCTGCGATAGCCTTGCGAAGTAGCCTCAGCCCCAGTCGACAACCGACTTACCCCGCCAAAGGCTTACTGGCTACGCTTTTGGTCACTTAATCTCCACACTAACCCGGCCGTCCTCTTTACGACAGCTTCTACTACCACTCCACCACTCTACCACATCACCTACTCGACGATAGTCTTGTCGGCGTTTGCGAGGGACACATTCGCTTGTAGCTCTCCTGCCTCCGGTACCGTCTCCACCTAGCCCATAGGCAGACACCATCTCCCCGTGCGTCGACCGACCTCGCTCTACTCAAGCGATCTCGTAGTCCGCCCGCCTTGACCGTCGCTGCCGTCGCAAAGATCTCTATTCTGACCTGCGCAGTCTGTCAAGATACCTATATCTCTCCACTAGCGTCTATCGCTCCAAATCCAATCAATAATCTCATCATGGATCCAAACTCTCTCACCTCTCATCCGTCCACCGCCGCACAGGCTCAGACGGTAAGCTCTTGTGATGTCCAACTCATTTGCCGCTCCATTCTAACGTCGTCTCCCAGTTCGTCGCCCCTGGCTCTCTCTCGTACCCTCAAGGCGCGAACTTGGACATGACTGCACCCTCCACTGAGCACAACACTCAACAGGTCGCTGAAAACGCGAACGGTGTTGCTACCCCCGCGGCTACTCCCGATACCCAGAATGGTCAAGTGCCCTCTGGTATCGTGCCTACTCTTCAGAACATTGTCGCTACCGTCAACCTCTCCGCTCGCCTTGACCTCAAGACCATTGCTCTTCACGCCCGCAACGCCGAGTACAACCCCAAGCGTTTTGCTGCCGTCATCATGCGTATTCGTGAGCCAAAGACAACGGCTCTGGTCTTTGCGAGTGGAAAGATGGTCGTCACTGGTGCCAAGTCTGAAGATGATAGCCGTCTTGCTTCCCGCAAATATGCGCGGATCATCCAGAAGCTGGGGTTCAGTGCCAAGTTCACCGTACGTCTTGCCGCGCTAACCATGTTTCAGCCCAACGCTAACTTGATAACAGGACTTTAAGATCCAGAACATTGTCGGCTCTTGCGACATTCGCTTCCCTATCCGTCTGGAGGGTCTTGCCTCGCGCCATCACACTTTCTCGTCCTACGAGCCGGAACTGTTCCCTGGTCTCATCTACCGTATGATGAAGCCTAGGATCGTTCTTCTCATCTTCGTCTCGGGTAAGATTGTTCTCACCGGAGCAAAGGTCCGTGAGGAAATCTACCAGGCGTTCGAGCTCATCTACCCAGTCTTGTCGGACTTCCGCAAGTCTTGAGCAATTCTTTCTACAATCTTCTCCTCAATCAGCCTTGAACAACCACCTGGCTCCAGGTGACATGGCTATGACTTGGGTATTCACTTCAACCTTGTCTTTTTTTTTGCGGCATTGCATGGTGTTTAAAGGTGGGCCTCTTTTCTCTTTTTTCTCAAACTTTCCCAAAACTCTACAACATATATCCCCAGTCACGATTAGACATCTGTACATGGGCAGCCTTCATCTCTTGGTAATCGGGTTACTGAAGGCTTTTCTTCTCTCTTCTGTTTTTTTATGGGTACGATTGCGTTGGCGGGAGGCGCGCGTGTGTGGGGACGATACCGAGATTGCTTTATTTGGACAGATGATGAAACGCGAGGACGCGTTGATGAGTGCGACCGTAAAAGTTCGCACTGAGGAGGGCCCTCTTTGGTTGCCGATAGGATGCCAGGGCTCCTCGGTGATGGATGCTCAATATCCATTGTGTATGTGTATATGACTCTTGGCCTTGAGACAAGTTAGGCATTAATGTCATTACGATATGATAATACCTCATGGCCCTGCTAGGCTTGTGATGCTTCTCTCGTCTCGTGTCTTATACATTGCCTGTCCATAGAATGCCCCCATCGCTTCCAAATACCCACTCGTCCAAGCTCAACATGTCGGACCTGCTGAACAGCAAGTAAAAATACTTGAGCGTCTGCATCGTCATCCTAAAGTCTTCATCATCTCTTTCAAAGTCGCCATTCAGCGCTTGCTCAACCTTCTCTTCCATAACTCGCTCCACACCCTCCCACATCTGCCACCCAACCTCTCTCCACCTCTCCTCTCCCGTAACCCGGTACAGAGCAAATAGACTCATCACTACTTCCGGTCTAACGCTCGGCCCCTTTTTGTCCCATATCTTCTCGAACCCGGGATACTCTTGTTCGGGCCACACGCTGGGGTCAAACGAGCAGTCTTCGTCGCTGTTGCTCAGTTTCGACGATGAACAGGCTAGCATCGAGAAGTTCTTCGGCATCATGTTGCCGTTGAAGGAAGGGGGTGAATGCAGGGTTGTCCATATGCAGCCTTCGGTTAGAAGACGGGCGTAGGTGAGATGGGTGTCGTTATGGGTGAGTGCTGCTGATAAGGCGAGCGTGCTGCCGAGAGTGCAGGATGAAATGTCGAGGTTGTGGGTGAGGGTTATGTGGTATCTTTGGGAGGTGTATGCAGGGCTGGCCATCATAACGGATTCGTTCGTGGGGGTTACAGGGCGGAAGAGGATGTGTTGGATGATTGCGTCGAGGGCGTTTGCGGACATGGTGGTGTAGGGTGATGTCTTGGGCGCGGTGGCGAGGAGACGGGTCATCAGAGTGTGTTGTGCGTATGCAGGACCCGATGAAGCATCTACATTGAATGTGTCGGCGGAAGTCAGGTCGAGGGTGTGCAAGTTTATTTCGGCGGGCCAGAGACCGGGGATTTTGGTGCTGCTTTGCTGCGATTCGAGGATATTGGTGACACGCGTTGCGGCATCGTAGAATCGCATGTCGCCTGTGAGCTGTGACAACCTGATGAATGCTAGGTTATATGTTGTGAGTTCTGCCAGTGTGACGCTTCCAGATGATTCTTGTTCCTCGCCGTCGGCGACTTTTGTTGCATTCCAGGATGTGATAGGTAGGCGGCTTGAAGTATCGAAGAAGGTATAGAGCATGTCGCCTAACTCGAGTGCCTTATCTAAAACTCGACTATTGCGACACTTTTGGAGGTCGTATGCTGAGAGTAGGCTGTACAGTAGTCGTGTCATTTGTGGTAAGCTAGTCATCTGGTCGTGTGGTTCAAGGTTTATTTCTGTCATGGCCGCGACGGCTTCTTCGAACTCCTTTGTCAGTCCCATAATCCAAAAGTTCTCGAGACTTTCGCTGAGCATAGTGGTCTGATCTGCCATCACTGACTGTGAATTCTCAGCCATTGCTGCATCTATTGCTGCATCCTTTTCTGCACTCCAGTATTTCTGGAATGTTGCTTTGACTGCGGCGTGGCGACGGGAGCGCACAACTGTCTCTCGATACGAGAATGCATCGGTGATGAATCTATGTTGGATTCTTGATGAATGGCCACTTGCTGGCCATGGTAGCTGCGCAAGAGCATTTACGGGATGGTGTTGGGTAGTAGTCCTGTAGAGGCTATTCTTTGATGAGGTGGATACAGAAGGGATTGAAAGGTGGGTAGAACAAGAGTGTTCGTATGGCGGAGAAGAAAGGAACCAGAAAGAATGGTTGGATTTGTAGAAAAGAAGAACGGTCAGGGAGACCAATAGGAGAAGACCTGACCACCGTGTACCGGTTCGTGACCTGGCTGGCGATAGGCCGAAAGTGAGGGAGCCTTTGCGATTATGCATGATGATTGAGAGTTTTCAAGGAACGACGAAGAGAATCCTGAGGGAAACCCGAGGAAATAAAACCACCATGGTGGTGGTGCGTCCGGGACAATTCATGTTTCAATGATGCTGTTGCTATTTGCGAGCAGTTATGGAAACCATTTGCATCGTTACGTGTGTCAGTGATGCCCCTGGTTGAAGTTCAAGTAGAGTTCAAAACTCTTTGGTTTCGAAACATGTCTAGCAACATGTTTTTTTGCTGTGTGAGTCCTTGGTAATTCCATGCCTATTCATATGGAAGTATGTGAGCCTGGAGACATGATGCCGGGATGATGGAACAGGATGGCGCCTCAGGGGGGTGCGTAGGCACGCAGAGCATGCAGGTGGAAGCAAGATAAATGTGTGAAGAGTCCTAGAAGTATTTTGCCTTTGTATACAAGGCTCCTGGAGGAATTTTGCATTCTTGCACCTTGGACGGTGGGATTGTGGGAAACTAGGGAACTGTTGGGTCGTGCGGGTCTGCATGCAGCCGTGTGCGTCAGTAGCTTGGCGCCTTCCTCCTTTCAACAATCACAGCAAGCCATGTTGCCATGGCTTCACACTTACGCCCTCACTCTTTACCGCGTAGTAATGTAGCCGCTACTTTTCCTGCAGCTCTAATATGTAATTTTTCTTATACCGATGCATTCCTTCCTTAGGCCCTACCAGTACTGCCGCCTTTCCCATCGTAGCCGCAGTCATGCGCATCCCTCTCTTCCGCATCTGGTACTCGACCACGTACACGGCGATTCTCATCATCCTGCTCGTGTTCCTCGCCGTCACCCCTGCCGACACGATATACCAGTCGATTAAATCCAATGAAATCCAGAAGTTGTTCGTCATTGGCGGAGTCTATGTGCTCACGAGTCTGATTGTGTTGTTGATTTACTCGACGCGCATCTACACGAATAGGACCGTGCTTGCTGCGATACCGAAGAGCTATGTGCCGGTCGAGGAGGGAGAAGTCGGCAAAGGTGTGAGGAGGATGATAGTCAAGCATTTCAAGAGAAGTGCCGTTGTTGCGTGGGACAGCAGGCCGAGAGACCTCAGGGGGGAGGTCGAGGATGAAGATGAAGAGAAAGGGCAGCTTTCGCGCGCAGGAACGGCTGAGAGTAAGAAGGATAAAGAAAAGTCACACAAAAAGAAAGGCCATCACCACCATGCGCCCGATGCGACCATTATACCTGTCTCTCCAAAATCGCCGCCTTGGGGACATATTTCCCATCCTGGCTGGGCTTCTCCCTCTTCGCCGGACCTGCCTAACCTGCAATATTGGAGCGTTATCTGCGAGCTTCCTAATCTCATCGAGGCAAAAGCCGTCTCACTTGCGCCGCCCGACCCTGCGCTTGAGGAAAGCGCCCAGCAATACCCGGATAATGCACCGCCTCTACCAGATGCTCGAATCGTCACCCTGCTCCAGCGCCCACGTGCAATGGGTTTGCGCGAATACCTGTCCCGACTCGCAGAATTTGGACTACTGAACCCACCCTCGCTCGGCCCTGCATTCCTTGCCCAGTACGAATATGCGCGCTTCTCCACAACCAGCCTAACCGAAACACAATTCCGCGACCTCATGGCCATATTTGCAGAAGTCCTAAACGGTATGACAGAAGTAGATCCGGTCGTTATCGAGGAAGCACGCGCACTGGATGTGGAATCAGACACACGCAGTCTTGCGCCTACAGAATCCAGCATGGACTCGACCATCTCCTCACACTCGCACATGCCCTACCGTACACCACAACTCGACCGCAAATCCACCCTGTCTTCTCTCAACAGCTTCCTGTCCACATCAAGCAGCGACGCCTCTACACCGCACTCTCCACAAACCGTCCGCACCGCTCCCTCACGCCAGCACGAGCGCGGCTCCACCATCTACGGCACACCTTCGCAGCGCTCGCTCGCCGGCTCGGAATCCGAAACGGGATCCGTGGTTATCCATGCCCGCTCACGACGCAGCCCGAGCACCATTCTCCCGAATTCCAGTGAGAGCTCCCTGGGTTCCGCGGGCAGTGTTATACGCTTAAATTTGAATCCGAGTGAGGGCGAGTTGCCGTATCAGTATAATATCGACGGGGGATGAACGAGCGTATAAACTTGGGATGACCGATTTAATTACATTTGCACATACACACACTGGACACACTGGAAAAGTCGTGGGGTACGACCAGATACGCTTGGAGTTCAAGCATAGGCCAGAGAGAAAGAATGCGGCAGAGATGACACGCAGAGAGGAAGACGAGAAAGGAAAGCGAAAGAGGGGAACACGCAGTGCCAAGGTTGCGATGTGACGTGGAAGAGAGGAAAAAAACAAGAAGAAGCGGAAGAAGAAGAAAGAGGAGAAGATACCCACTGCAAGAAAGGCAGTCAGTAATCGGCACAAGAAATCGTGCCAGAGACACGCATATATACGCAGTCTCTCCAAAAAAAATCCCCCCCATCATTTTGCCATTCTACCCATTTTTTTTACCGGGAAGCAAAAGATGGGACACAATTACTAGATCTCAAGGACGCCGCGCAGGCAAAACCCCCCCCCCCCCCCCGACGCAAAAGTCCATTATTTATTTCACCCATAACTAGACTTTTCTTGTAACATAATTTTACTTTATGCATCATACGTCATCAGAACCGAAGAGAAAAAAAAAGTACTACACATATTCATATTTTCCATGGCTCGATCTTTGATTTTTTTTTTTTTTGCAAAGAAAGTTAATGTTTCAAGAAGAAGAAGAAAAAAACCAGATATATAGATTCGACATATACATATACATGACATCTAAATGAGGCATGGAAAACAACAAATCGTACAAGATATACCCTCACTCTCGCGGTCTAAGCTAACTTTGAAGGGGTTTTTCTTTGTTTCTTTCTTTCTTTCTTCATTCATCATCTTCGCATTTACTCAGCAACCCAGACGGCAGCCATACCCATACCGGTACCAATGCACATGCTAGTAACACCAATCTGTTGCTTTGTTCGCCTCAGCTCGGTGAGCAGAGTGCTGACTTGCCTGGCGCCAGTGACACCGAGGGGGTGACCAAAGGCAATAGCACCGCCCTTGGGGTTGATCTTCTTCATGTCGAGGCTAAGCTCGTTGATGCAGTAGAGGCACTGGCTAGCGAACGCCTCGTTGATCTCGTAGATGTCGACTTCGTTCTTGTTCAGGCCCGTCTTCTCGAGGACAACGGGGATGGCGGCGGCGGGACCGACACCCATCAGTAGCGGAGGTACGCCGACAATGGAGGCTTGGACGAACTTGCCAATGATCTTCTGGCCGAGACGCTCGGCTGTGCTGCGCTTCATCAGGAGCACGGCGGCGGCACCGTCAGAGATTTGAGATGCGTTACCGGCGTGGATGGAGCCGTCCTTGGAAAAGGCAGGGCGAATCTTGCTAAGAGATTCGGGGGTGATGCCTTGCCTGACGCCATCATCCTTGCTGACGGTAATGGTCTCCTCCTTGTCGGTCTTGGGGTTGGTCCACTTGACGGTCAAAGGAGCGATTTCCTCATCAAAGAGACCCTGCTTTTGAGCCTCGACGGCCTTTTGGAACGACGACGCGGCAAAGGCGTCTTGGTCAGCTCGCGCAATACCCTTGGCCTTTGCCATTTGCTCCGATAGCACGCCCATGGGTACCTTGCAGTTTGCGGCTTCCTTGTGGTTCTCGAGGAGCTCGGAAAACTCGGTGACGGCGCCAGGTCCGTATTGTGTGCTCATGCTCTCTGCGCCTGCGCCAATACCGACTTCAATCATGCCTGACTTGATTGCGTTGGCGATGTCGACGCATGCCTGGAGACCAGAGGAACATTGCCTGTTCAAGCTCTTGACTGCGGTCGTGGTAGGGAAGCCAGCAGCAAGAGCGGCAGCGCGGAACTCGGTTGCGCCACCACCTGGGGCGAGGACAGCACCGACAGCGATGTCCTCGACGAGCTTAGGGTCGATACCCGAGCGCTCGATGATGGCTTTGTAAGCGCCGTGGAGAAGGTCAGCTGCTTGTGTATCCTTGAAGCCTCCCTTTCCGCCCTTTGTGAAGGCTGTGCGGAGCGCGCAGGTTACAACAACCTATCAAGCATCTTGTCAGTATGTAGATTCTGGAAGAGGCGCTTGCCTCGTCACGCTGAAACCTGGTGTAACACTCACATCATCAGGCCTCTTCTCAAGCAGGTTCTTCCTTCCCTTGGATGCACCAGAGCTGGCAGAACCGCCGAGGAGATGACCCTCGACCTGCGTAAGGCGCTCTTGTACTGTACAGCAGCGCCGTCAGTATACCGTGTCAAAACCATGTCTTTGTGCATCAAAGCATACCTTTGTTGGGGGCTTGGTTTGCCATGTTGACGCTCGAAGACAATATGAAGACGAGAAGTGTGAGTTAGGAGATGGTAGAAGGAGGAGGAGGAGAGGGTAAGAGAAGGGAGGTGAGTAGAGAACAGACGAGAGAGGGAGAGAAGCTGGTGTATAGTCTTCTCGCGTTCGGCTCAATGCAATTAGGTCATTCGCCTCGCATTCGCCGAGGTAAGTACTGCTTTGGGTTAGTGTATTTGCGGGGGTCGTCATGCCTTCCGGGGAAGGTAGTTTTCACATGCTTTGGCAGAGAGTCGCAGGGATGGGCGGTCAGAACACACTTCACATGTCAGTCAGCGCATTGTTGCTTGCCATGTGCTCGGGTTTGTAACGTTCTTGGATATTTAGTGCGATGTTGCTGATGCAGATGAGATTTCTGGTTAGAAACACCACCTTTCAGCGCAGCCCCCAAGAAAAGACGTATTGTCAGATTTCAAGCCAACTACCAGGCCTAGCTATGCCTGCTATTCTCGAATCTAATTCGAGCCAAGTAAAGTGATACATGTAAGTTCGTGATATTTCGTTGCAGCCATTTGAAGCTGCTCTTACCCCGGAACGCCCTGCTCAAACACAACAATTTCTTGGCACACTAAGGAGTGCCCGACTTCATCGCTTACTATCAGCATCCTGCCACGGATTGTCCCTAACCTGTCTCTCCAGCTCATCTACGATACTACTCCTCTGTACCTCCTCGTAGCCTGGAGGTGGATCCGATGGCGGTTCAAAGTGCTCTTGCTGTGTCCGTGGGCTCGACAGCGAGCTCGATGCTGGTGGGCTTGAGGGTTCGGGCACCGCAATAACGGAACCGCCAACACCACTCATACCCCCGACTGCAGAGCTGTCCATTGGTGGGCTGGGTAGCGGGTCAGGTACTCTAGCGTGCTGTCGGCTCTCTTCGTAGGCTGGTAGATCGTCGAGATGCACGTTGTTCATGTTCACACCACCAACACCTCTGGTTCCATCCTGCACATCATCACCGCTCTCCCTCGCTATCTCGATGGCTTGCCGTAACCGCTCCTTCAATCGTTCGAATATGCTTGCAAAATCGAATGCACCGCCCTCTTTGAATTCCAGGACGAGGTCGAGCTCAGAATGCTGTGGAGGTATGCCGCCGCCTTGAACAGGCTGAATGATGGCTTCCCATTTATTTGCGCCGAACCATGGTGCTGTTACGCGCGAGTCTGCTACGTTGAGAATGGGAACGGCGAAGGATTGCAACTGTGGTGTTGGGTTGACGGGCAGATAGATCATCTACGATGTAAGTTAGCTCGACGATGGGGGCGGGCCAGGCCATGTTTGCCTGGCAAGGGAGGATGGATGTATCGTACTCGTCGGTTGGTGAGGAAGACGACGCCCGACTTGCATTGTTGCGAGTAAGATTCGCTCGGAGGGTGTCGGTGGCTGGTCTGCAATGAGAGTGTGGTTCGAGGAGGAGACTGGTACAGCGTCTGCTCGCCGGGGAGAGGGGTGTAGCCGCCATTCTCAGCGAGCATTACCCAGCTGGACTTGCGGTTAGACTTTGTCTTGCTGGTCATTTTCTCGGACCTAAAGCCCATGGTGCAGTGCTAGGGTGCGTTCTTGTGCCTCTGGTGCACGCTGTCCTAGGCTGGTACAGGGAAAGCCGTGGGGGAAGAGGGGCAGGCAGCAGCAACACCGTGCAAGAAAGGGCAGCGTTTACAACGACGACGATGACGACGATGATGATGATGACAGAGAGAGCGGAAAGGAGGAGAGAGAAGAGAAAGGCGTACTGACTTGACAGACATGGTCGAGACTCGTTGCTGGCTGCAAACTTGTTCGTGAATAGTTCGCCCACACCCAGCAGTGCCAATGCAAGCCTTCCTACGTGCACTAATAGTGCCTGCGCCCGCCCGGACGTCTTTCGGCCCGACGACCGCCTCCTATCAAACGTCGAGTTGTGGCTCCCGCGTGGATGCGAGTGATCTGTCTAGCGGCTGGTGTGGAGACGAACGGTGGGGTTGCTGCGCTCGATGGGTTGGCTGGGGTTGCTTGTCGCGGCGAGCGCGGTTGTCGCGAATGGCTGGTGTTGGCGGGTTGTGCGTTGGAGGGGGGGTGGGGGTTGTGGAAGTTGGGAAAGGCTGAGTAGTATGCGCATCTACAACAGCATATGTAATGTAGATATGCATCACGTCGGATACGGCACGTGGGACTCCCGGCGGCTATCGTCTTTCAAGGCACTGCAATTCTGCGTCTCCTGCAGCAGCTGCTGATGATCCCGTAAGACGCGCTTGCGTCACCCCCGAGGGCCCGTGGTGGGGGACTACATGGACTACATGGCCAATCAGAGCCTACGAGATCACACACCCATCGGGTGGCCAAGATTGGCATTAATGCACATTACTTACTTGTCGGACATACATATATGTAATATATGTGTATATGTATACATGCACGTGTATCTAAGCTTCTAAGAACGGTGATGCCCTCTCACCCCTGTCCAAAGCAGCAATTACAAAACCTTATCTCTATCCATCGTCCTCCCTCTCCGTCATTGTCCACCTCCTCTTGGGTCCCTGCCTATGCTCATACACGTCGTCGAGTTTTGGTGGACCCCAGAGTCCATGGCTGGGCTTAGGTGCCGCCTTTGCGCCCCAAAGACCTGTTGCGCTCACTGCACTCTGTTTCCGAGTAGCGGCGCTGACTAGGGGAGTCGATTTGTCGCCCACCTCCCTTTCTTCCTTTGAGTCCAACTTGGTAAGATGATTGGTTGAATCAGACGCGCCGTCTGCTTGTGGGATAGACTTCACGTCCTGTTCACTATAAGACACCCCGGCACTCGTAGCGCTAGTGGGCTTCGACCGTACTTGTTGATGTGCAGAATGGAGTCCCGTTTCTGCCTCTACAGCAGGCGTGCTCGCTCCTGACCACAGGCCTCCTGCAGGAGATGCAGCTCCACTCGTTGCACTCTGGATGAATCTTGAGTTCGACCCCGAGCTCATGGTCCGACGCATACTGCTCATGGAGCTGTTCCGGGTCCTATAGGGCTCACCAATTGAAAACGGTGTCTCAGAAGGAGTACTTGCAGTCGAGGATCCTGTAAATCGTCGACGATGGTCTAGCAATGGACTGGGCAACACAACTGGCGATTGTGCTTGTGCTTGCGCCTGTGCAGAAGGTGGTTTGGAAGGATCAACACCGGGCCGCAGATGGTCGATTGAAGCTGAGAGCTTTACCTCGTAAGTGTCCGGCATACCAGGATCCGCGACTGAAAGTCGTCGCTCGTGCAAAGTCGACGGTGCTGGTGTTTCCCTGGGCTCGTCCCTCCGGACTGCCATTGAGAGAGAAGCGAGGCCAATGTCCATGAGTACAGGCTGGTTAGTCATGGCTCCCAGGAGAGCGTTGCAACCAGCTCCATGAGTTACTAGAATCAACACAATCTCTTCCTCTTCCTCATCGGGCCCGGCTGAGCCATCGCTAAAATTCGGAAAGGGATCTGACTTTGTTTGTGACATGCGTGGCGGCGTCAGACGAAGCGGTTCTCGGAACATGAAACCTGGGAACTGGTTCTTGGGAGGTGCAGTGCCATGCGTCCTATACCATTGCAGCATACCCGCAAGACCTCTTCTGAAGCGCTTGTGCATTGTGCTCCATTCGTCACCAAACTGTCCGCCATCGCCCCAGTTTTGAGGTTCGCGCATACTGTCCCATTGGAAGTCGACTTGCACACAAGCCTCCTGCGCGTGAGCAACGTATCCACGCGGTATAGGATCAGCCGGGGAAACCGAGTAAGACGGGTGCGGGGGCTGGTAGATACGACTTGATGTACTAGTAGGACCAGGTGTAGGTGTAGGTGTAGGCGCCACGAGCGCTGAGACGGCTTCTCTCGGAACGGTGCCTGGTAGAGCCAACGGACCAGTGTAGCTGCTTGAACGTTCGCGCAAGGGCAGGGCCTGTGCCAAGCTGCTCATTCTTGCACCCTGTGCAGTATTGGCCGCAGTCTTGTTCCCTGTCCAGCCGCCTGGAAAATGACCCCTACTGCTATTTGGGTTGGGTTGTTCTTGAATGTAATCGCCTCGCCGTAGCAGATCCGCCTTTGCACCAGCTACCATCATGGTCGAGTTTGGAGGCGCTGTGATATCTGCGTAGTACTCGGGAGACAGCCACTCGCCCAAGAAGGCATCGATACGTAGCAGAATTCTCTCAGGCCCGGTATGAGGTTTGGGTAGGATCTCGAGGTTGGGGTCGGCGAGCGGTTCAAAGGTTCGAGGTTGCGATGATGTCGGTTTGGTACGTGGTGCTTTCGACGAGGAGCTCCCCAATGTGCTCTTCTTTTCCTTGGAAGGCGTCGGTATGCTGATTTCTGGTACGGTTGACGCCTGTACCTGCGAGATTCCCGCTGCCACTGCAGTACTTGTTTGGACGCATCTTAGAAACGGGCTCGAATGGATGATAATCTTTCGCTTCTTCTTCTTGGGGCGTTGGGCACCGCTTCCCTGTGCCTGGCCATCTTGCGAAATGGTCAGCTTGGCCAAGTCGGGCTGTGAGGGATCGTGGCTAGGAGAAGTCTTCGCTGCTTCTGCCTGCTGGCTGTCTCTCTCAATGAGCAATGCAGCTATGCGCTGGCCGAGTGCCTTTGCTTGCGACCAGCCGCCGTATGTAAGTGGGGGATCGTAGGGTGCAGGCGAGGTGAGATGCCATGACTTGTCAGCAGCATCCAGTCGGGCGCCGTGCCTGTGAAGGATGTTAGCGACAGGCTCGGAATGTGGAGCCGTGAATACGGTTGAGTCGGTACCTGGCAACAATTACTACTGCGGGACCTTTGGCTTTTGCCATGACGCGCTAAGAAAAGCCTCGCGTCTTGCGTGCAGCTGTTAGGAGCTGTCGAAATTGGATTGTTTAAGAGAAAAAAAAACAAGTCGAGGCACGACACAAGGAGAAACAAAAACTCCGGGACAAGGCAGACAATTGGGAGGGTTAGCACAGCAGTAGCGTAGCGGCAGCAACGGCGATTCTTGAAGTGATGATGTCGCGGTCCAGGGTCCAGCAGTTGGCCGAGTTGGCAAGCGGCGCAGGCCGGCGGGCGGGGCCTAGAATGAGCTTTTGGGCACATGACTACACCAACCTCCCGCCTAGTCCGATGCTTTCATCAAACTGCAGAAGGGTCGACCCCATGGGTTTTGATTGTAGAAGGATCGATCCGATTTTGATTCGGCAGGGACGAGCCACTAGACTACCTACTACTACCTGCTACACACGGGTATAACCTACTTACTACTTGCTGCCCTTGCCCTTATTAGATTTGTCACCCTTGTCCTTGCCAGATTTGTCACCTTTTCCTTTGCCATCCTCACATTTCTTTGCCTTTGCTATCCCCACCTTCGCCTTCGCCATCCTTGCCCTTGACCTTGCCATCGTCCTAGGGTTCGTCATCGTCCTTTCGACCTTTGCCATCCTCGCCCTTGCCTTTACCGGAACCCGACTTGGTCTTATCATCCTTTCCGGTGCCGTTGCTGTTGCCGTCGTCCTCGGTTTTGTTCGTGCCCGTAGCCGTCTCCAGCGTTTCAATGATACGCTGTAGCTGAGGAGTGATCGAATCGACAGCCTCGGCACAATGGTATGTTACAAACATGCACAACGAGTCATTGATTCGTTGCGCAGCATCTGCATCATCAGTATCTCCATATAGCTGCCACAGCCGGGCTGGTGATTCTGGCACTATATCATTGCCAGGCTCGTTTCTCAACGCCTTACTACGAGCAATGCTTCTGTCGCGGAGGCTTTTGAAAGCATTGATTCTGGCTTGAAGGAGCGCGGAGAAAGAACTCTGCGGGATCGAGGTCCTCCCGAGCCGCTTCATGAGCTGGCCCAAAAACCAAGCATCTCGATTCGCATCTTGATTCATTGCATAAGCTGCCGCAGGCCCAATGATGTTTTTAGCAAATGCTACGGCATGATCGATTGTGAAAACCGACGTGTCTTGAACGGCGCTGTACGCGGTCAACTTAGGCTGGGTAATCACGTTGTTTTTGATAGAGATGCGCTTAACAAGGGTATTCCATTCGCGTTGCCGTTGTTCGCCAGCCTTGACTGAGCAACGGAACTCGGGAAAGTAGAACACTTCAGCTTCGGGGACGTTGTACAGACTGTATATACCGTTTTCTGGCTTCAAGAGGACATACATCTTGGTCGGCCTGTCCTCAGGGTTGTTGAAGCACGGCGTTACTACCAGCAACGCGGTCGTGTCTTCGTCCATTTCTTCAGAATGGTCATCCTCTAGTTCCTCACCGCTTTCGAGAATTTTGCTTCCGGTATATCTTTCCGGGAGATCGAAGATAAGAATATGCTCGGTAGGCGGCTTAGTCCCTGACACTCCTAGCTGTTTGCCTTTTGCCGCTGGGAGATCTTTGTTCAATGTTATACCTACTAACACGATCGTAATCTGGCCTGGTTCGTAGTCCTCGGCTAGTTCTTGTTCGGTCAAGTTGAAGGAGTGACGAAAGAGCATCTCTTTATCGTCCTGCTTGGCGTCATTGACCACCTTCTTGTACAGCGTGGAGGAGAAAATCTCCCGCGCAGCAATGATCTGATTTGGCTGTCGGCCCGGTCAGTTGAAGCGGAGAGCATACCCGCGCGTGGTAAGGGCAACATCTTGGAGCTGGGCTTCTGCTGAGTCTGAGGTTCTCGCAGTCCGTATCTGGGCCATGGTGTCACGGCAGTCAATACACAACAAAGGGGATGTGTTGGAAAAGTAATGTTAGTTTTAGAAGAAGGAGCAAACAAGCCGATGGCGCTATGCGACGTACTGCCTCTCTTTTTTCTTCGTTTGCAAGGTGAAGGTAGCTTCTGCCTACAACTTCTCCAACGAGCAGTTCGACGACCCATCAAGTCCATGGAAACTGAGGCTAAAACCGGAGAGTAAATCGTGGTCTTTGCTATTTTGCTATCATAAATCTTCTAAATTGAATAGAATGTGCCACACTTTTACAATGTGCCATCATCGTGAATGTTTGATGCAAATGCCATCTGAGAAGATCTTACAGTGTCTAGCAAAGTATTCATAGAGCTAAAAAAAAAGAACCCCTTATGGCTTATGTACTACTGCAGATGCTTCCCCCTTTACTCCAAATACTCCCCATTCGTCTCCTTGTGAATAACATCAAACAACGGCTTTGCACTAAACCAGCCGGCCGGCGGTGTTCCAACCGTCTTATACGTATAAACCGCGTCTTCATCATCAATCTTAACCGTCTGGCCCCCTCGGCCCGCAGCCGCCGCATCCGCCGCGAGCTGCGCCTGACAACACTTTTCCAAGCTGACAAACCAAAACACGGCCTCCTCGATCGTCTGTCCCACCGTCAACAAGCCATGGTTCTGCAGTAAGGCAGCTTTTTTATCGCCCAGGCATTTGGCGATATTTTTCCCTTCCTCCGCCGCAAGCACGATGCCGTTGAACGACTCATACAGCACGTGGTCGTTGTGAAAAGCACAAGAGTCCTGGGTAATGGTATCGAGTTTGCGGCCGAGAGCGCAAAAGGCACGGCCGTAGATGGAATGCGAATGTGCTGCTGCTACGACATCGGGGCGCGCTGTGTGCACGGCGTGGTGGATCATGTATGCTGCTGTGTTGAGGAGGCGGCACTCGCCTCCGTCAATGACTTTGCCGTTTGCATCGACGAGAATCAGATCGGATGCTTTCATTAGACTGAAGGCTACGCCGAAGGGATTCACCCAGAAGGTCGTGGGGTCGACGGGATCCTATTGGTCGCGCGTTAGCAAACTATCCATATGGGGGGGGGGGAAGGAGTATTTGTTAGAGTTCAGGGACTAACTCTCAAAGTGATGTGGCCGGCTACACCCTCGTCAAAGCCATATTTGCCAAAGATGCGGAATGCAGCAGCGAGGCGGCCCTTTAGGTATGCGCGCTCCTTGAGTGGGTCGTCGAACTTGGGTGGTGCTGGGAGGCTGAGTTGCAATCCCTTTGCCTGTTTTTCGCTCAGGCCGGGCTCTAGGGGCGCAGCCGTGCTGGGTTTTGTTTGTTCGGGCTCAGTGGCGGACGGTGGAGACATGACGAGTGTGGATGCAGGAAACTATGTGGTGAAACTCGGATGAAAGAGAAGGAGAGTGCAGATGCAAAGACAGCGACAAAGCACAACAGAGTCGCGGTAGAAAGTAGAAATAAGACAATCGTGGAGTAATGGTGAAGCAGTGCCTTGACCGCAAATGCGAGCAAGTAGCCTCGGAACTACATAACACGCCCTTCCGAAAGCCGTGGTTGGTCGGGTCTGCTGCTATGGGGGAGTGCGGGGCGGGGCGCCCATCCATCTACGCATACACATACGCCTAGACGCGGGGTAATGAGCCTCCCTCCCGACCTGGCTGACGGTAATGGCCAGCCACGCCCCTCCCTCTGTCTGGCTTTTCTTACGCCATCGTCACGGCGACTATTCACTCGTTGCGAGCCAGACTGGAAATGCTGGGGAGCCGACATCCGAGGCCCGTGAATTGCCCTAGACTCAACAACACGCAGTCTCTCTCTTCCCGATACTCTACCATCTGGCTTCGAGCATAACAGTACCCAAGTATCAAGGCCCTCCATGTTGTTGGAGTCTGACATGTTATAGCGAATATGAGGGGGAACCCATGCTATCTTGTGAAAATAAAAGCCAGTATTCCCCGCATTCTCTGGTGTGCATTGCGCGTCCCTGTAGACAGGCATGCCATGTGTAAGTGCAAAAGCAACAAAAGAAACTGACTTCAAGGTACCGTACCAAAGTCTGCGAGCCTCCGTGCACGTGACGTGTCACCGGCAAACGACGACCACGTAGCAGTTAAGCTCAACACGCATTCGTCTTGTCGACGTAGTACCCCAGCCCTATAAGAAGCTTGGGGAACAGGTCGGTCAGTGGTAGCCAGGCAAGAATGTAGAGAATAGTAGGGGTAGGGGTCAGTTTGCAACATGTCAGGTAGCGAGTCCCAAACATTACCAGGTAAATGTTCGTAACACGTGCGTAGTGTACTTGTGTACAAAAGTTACACCGCAGTAGTAGAGCAAAACATGAACAAGCTAATGCGAGGCAATTAGATCATGCAAACGTCATTCCCATTTATGCCAGCATCGACTGTCACTTTCGCAATTGCATGCGCGCTTCGGTCGGATACACTCTGGTTGTTTCTGCAGTGCGTCAGTAAAATCATTGTCAGCATAGGTGTACTGAATAGTCATGGACCAATGCAAGATGCCATCATTCGTGGATCTCAAGTTCAAGGCTAGAATGGCTAGTTACCCAAGCAGACCCAGCCCTGATTCAAACGCAACCGGAGCAGCGCGGCTAGTCAGGTGCTCCACTTGGGTTCGAGAGAATGGAATGCAGGTGCATGTGCATACTGCAAGGACGAAGACGGAGGAGCCGATAAAGCGGGGGATGATGCTTATTGATCGCTGCAGACAGACTGCTACCGAAGCATCGATCATCACAGGCATGCCACGACACGCCCCGCTCTACTATCTCCATGGATACTGCACTGTCAGCACCCTTGCACTTTGTGTCTTGATAAGTGGACAGAACCGAGCAGCCTCACCCCTGTCCGTGTATATTGGCGCGGCTTGCCGCTCGGAAGAAGCAACCGACTGAGCGGCACTTGGCGGATCCCACCTCGATTAGCGTATGTTGAACAGGGGAAAGTGTGTTGAAGGGATGCAGAAATGCATGTTTGGTGCCCCTTTGGCATCTCAGCCTTGCACATCTGGTCTATTACAGCCACGCGTCTTTTGTTTTCTATTGGTCTAACGGAACATGGCCGCGAAATGACGGCTTGAACTGCAAACCGTGCCGCGTCATATCATTGCGCCCAATAAGCAACGGCTTGTCCGCCAAAGGGGACCAGGCGACAATTTGTTCAACAGCACGTGGGGGGGGGGGGGGGGGGGGATCGCGGGGGGAGGCGCCAAAGCCATGGAAGCACATGTCAATCAAAGACCTTTGTGACTATGGCCCTGGAGTTGTCTGCTGTTATACTTTGTGCTGATGCCCCCCGACCTTGAAAGCAATACGCAAGTTGGACACTGACAAGTGAACAGTGAGCAGGCGTACTGTATGCCGATGCGGGCAGGGGAAAAGCAAATCATAACTGAGGTTTCAGATGATGCTGGGGCAAGCAGACATGGCAATGGTTCGCGATGGCCGTATGCTCCGTGCTCCAGAGGCTGGCGGGTTTGCCGGGCAGCTCGATAAAGCATGTAGCACTCGCGGGATGACGATCTGAAAATGGACAGTGGCGTTGATGAGGCGCCAGATGCGGAATACTGCAGCATGGGCTGTCCTCGAAAAGTGAAGGTGTTATGCGCAGTCATTTCGAGGCAGCGTAAGAAATGCCGTCGAGTGGAGGCAGAGACAAGAGTGGGGGCTTGGGATCTGCAGCCAATGGAGCAGACAAGATGCATGACGTACCATGGAAGCCCGGCAAAAGCAACCTCAGCTCTCCTCTCCCTTGCTGCAACACCATGCCGCCGAATGGCGAGCTGACCTTCGCGCATCCCGTACATATACGGCCATATACGCCGCCCACGCCCCAGTTAGGACACCCTCCCGTCCGTCGTCTCCGACATGGCTTCATTGCAAACACAAAGAAAGAAATCCCAAGGCGAGGGTATGGTGTACGGAGCATCGATAAGCGAGCAGGTCCGCGGACTGGGAAGGCGGGTATTGCTTGAGAGAGATCAACTGCTGGGCTTGACCATTTCTCGCCTTAGCCAACTGCCCATCGATGATGCTGGCTGGTGATCGCGCTCGTGGCTGGCTCACGTCGGCGACAAAACGACCAAGCGACGGTCAGGGCCATCCCAGTCGTCACAGCGGGAGGTCCGTTCCTCGACCCGCAGATCCGCTTGGGGTTACCGATCACGACCCAATCTACGCTAGTGCCAGAGCGCTACAATTCGCCATCCACCAACGACAGCAGGGCGAGCCGGCTTCGTTTTTTTCCAAATCAGATGCACACCATGCCTCCCGGCTGTTCTTGGACTACGGCCATGTGCTCTTAGGTGTAGAGTGAGAGCATGCTGTGTCTCCGCCTTTGCCACTAGTGCACACCCACGTACACTGTGCATTTTTTTTACACCTCTCCCGAAACTATGTAGCAGGCCTCCAAACACCATCTACACCCTCTCTACCCCATTTGGTGTTTCATGTAACTGTTGTTTTGGTTACGTGGGCAAGGAGACGTCAGGACTGAAGCCATCAAGGCAGTGTTTTTGCAGACAGCTGTATCCTAACAATAGTCTCGCCCATCCATGTATTGATATCCAATATGAACCGTCAAGGGTCATACTTACGCCATTGTCACATTTTGGTAGAACCACGAAAATTATCGGGCTCCACATATGTAACCCTGCCTACCACCTTGTGTGCTTGGTTGCTTTGCCGGGCTGAGCCTGCAACGGAACATGCGCCGCACCCCACACCTGGACGATAGGTGGGTTTGGCATAGAGACTGAGACCATCTGTACGCGCCAATGCTGTATATCACGCACAGAAGGAACGCCAAGCTTATTACCTCCATCCTGATGTAGGGATCGACGGCCTGAATTGTCAGCTCAAGCCACAATGGGTACCCTGGACATACCTTCATCCTAGGACTAGCTGAACTAGCTGCCATGTGAACCAGGAAGAATCCACTGGGAATGCTGCGGGAGCTGCAGTCTGAGATTACAGCCCGATGGTCAATGCCATGCAAGCAGACATGCCCCGCTTGATAGCTGTAGAGCATCATGTTTTAAAGAGACTGCCTGCGCTCCGGACACTGAGCTTTCTGTGTTCCAATCCACATGCTGCATCTATTCAGTGAGTACTCCCTGGTGTGAGCCCCTCAACAATTGATTCTGATATCCATCTGCAAGAAAAGCAGAAAAAGAAGCGCTCCCAACAGTCACCCGACAACACTCAGCATAGAGATAGAAGTAGTCCATCTATCTCCTCCATTGACTCCGGCCCTACTTCGCCTTTGCAAATTCCTGCTCGACTCTCACCATCCCGATCCCAATCAACAAAGGGATTACCATCTCCTCCCGAGATTAGCTATTCTACCTCTACTGTACCAACACTGCAGTCTCAACCCTCATCACAGTCTCTGAGAAGCCCAGCGATAGGACCACAACGTCCCTTGCCACTTCAAGAGCCAACAGTAATTGCTCCGTCATTGACTGTTGATACTAGCCCTGCATCACCCCCAGCTGCAGGCTCTAGATCTGTTACACAACCATCTCAGCAACCTCTCGTGTCAGAAAGCCCGCAACCTGCTCTACCGCGCCGGTTTTCGGTGAGCTCTAATCTTTCAACACAATCCTCAATCACCTACAGCACACCGCCACCTTTTCGGCCTAGCATCATGTCTCTCAGACTCTCTGCTTCTTCCGGAAAGCTGAACGGAACCAACGGAGCAAGTGTACTCTCCCCAACAGAGTCGCCTGGGGCGCTCTTCCGCACCAAAGGGCGCTTGTCGTCTTTTGCCTCTTCTCGCGCCACAAGCGGGAACTTTGGCTCAATCAAATCCCCCAAGAAGCGTCTCGGCAGTACTGGCAACTACCAAAATTTGTTTGTCCAAGAGTCTGCGGCAGCTTTGACTGACCGTAGCAAGAAGGCGCTGGGCATTGCGCATGAGAACATCCGTGATGTTACTTATGTCTCTTTTCTCGAGTGGATCAGGTCCGAGCGACTGACCACACTCCCGCACAAGGGCAGCCGATGGGACAGAGTCTTGATTCGCGCCCTTTATTTTGCAGAGCAACTTCACAAGTTCGAACAGGCCATCCAGCCGTTTGCTCACAACAGTGCCTCTGCTGCCATTGTTGGTTATGGCCACGCACAACTGCTTCTTGAGCTCAGCCACCACAACTCTGAAGCTTTGGACAAGGCATTCTCAATCTTCTACAAGTTTGCCATGTCCTTCCACTCGGTGTTGCACCGTTCCGAGTTGTTGGCCGCGAGCCCTGAGATCCGCGAGCAGATTTGCCTCCTCTACGCAGATCTTATCAGCCTCGTAGTCGATGTCGGCATTCAATTCTACTACGCCGCCAAGGGTATGTCGTCCAACTCTACTAGCCTGGACATCTTTGAGCAATTTGGCGATACGATCGAGTCATTCCGTACCCGCCAGAACACTGTGATTGAACTCATCTGGCAATCCCAAATCGAAAACGAAGTTTTCGAAGAAGGAGAATCCATTGATGTTCAGCATCTGAGCCGATGGCTGGCTTCTCAGGATCGAGTGATTGCAGCAATCACCAGAGATCATGAGACATATGTGGACAACCAAGCAGTAAGTACAAGACTGAAATCTGATACAGAACAAACACTTACTCGATGCGTTTCAGGAGTTTACTTGCCTGTGGTTCAACAAGCACTTGACGAGGTTTTTCCACAGCCAAAACCGCATCTTCTTGGTCACCGGCCAATCGGGTGCTGGTAAGACTACCCTTGCTGGATCCATCGTTGAGCGTCTGCAACGGCCCATGAACCGCCAGCAGTACGATACATTGTTCTGTTCCCTCTCTCCGGATATTCCAACCGCTGCGACCTCGCTGGCAGTTGTGAAGTCTCTGCTCTTCCAACTGCTAAACCTGCGCATTGGCAATATGAACATGTACTGGGCGCTTTTCCGCGCCTATAACCAATGCCGAAACTGTGAAGATGTCAAGACTTACGAAGAGTATCTTTGGCAGGCATTGACAGAGGCCCTTCAGCACCCTGCTGCTGGCTCCAATGAGCTTGTGATTGTAGTCGACGGTCTGGATGAGATCGCTGATTCCAAGAGCGCCTCCGTCCAAGCCCTGGGTGGCTTCAGCTCGACAGGTCTTCTAGAGAAGTTGGCCAAGGTTACGAAGCAGGGTCGCGGCGTAAGACTGATCACAATGTCTTCTTCTGTGAAGCTCTCATCTCCATCCATGGGCATCCAGCATGAAATCACACGCGACGATGTTCGGGATGACTTACACGCTGTTGCCCTACGGTCGTTGATCCACAACCATTACTTCCATGGCCAACGCGCTCTCGAGCAAGAACAACTGCTGGATCGGGTTATCCAAATTGCCAACGGGTCATTCTTGCAGCTATCATTGATCTGTGAGCTACTCAATGGCCAGAAATCCCCTGATGCCATGAGCAAGGTCATCAGCGGTCTGGAGACTTCCAAACCTACAGTCTCGGACCTGATTGTGACTCTTTTCAAACAGCTGAACCCCAGCAATGATGCAAAGACCATGCTATCGTGGGTCCTGGCTGCTGAGCGTCCCCTCACCATCGACGAGATTCGCACTCTGTTCTCTGTCGATGTCCAGCGCGGAACTATCTCTGACAAGGGAGTCAACGTCAACGAGATGTTCAGGTCTCTGGAGCCGCTATTCACTCTGCACCAGCGTATTGTGCGATTCAGGCACCCTGTGATTCACTCCACTCTCCACGATCTGGCCGAAACTGGCAAGGTTTCTATTCCACTAGAGCATAGTGAGACGGATTTGCTCCTTAGAGTCCTGGCTTACACCAAATCTGTCCTCAAGGACAGCAGGAGCGAGCCGACTTTTGACATCTCCGATCCATCGACACCAGACAACCTGTTTAAGCAATACCGCTTCCTTGAG